TTCTGGGTGCTGTGATTTTATGAAAGATTAGACTCTGTGGATTCAGGTATTTTACAGTGTTGTAAAAATAAATAAATAAATGGCACCCATCTCATAAAAAAGTTGAGGTTTAAATGTTGTGGGAATAAAGACTTTTTGCCTTCAGTAACAACAGTGCATTTTGTGCAAAGGTGGGAACTGTGTGGGAAGTGTAAGACAGTTGAACCTTAACCATTCATTTGCTTGTTTTTAAGAGCCTGGGTTTTGTAAATGATGTGAAAGAGAAGAGGGCTGTTGTCACTTAGCAACACTTTCTGGTTCAGGAACAAAATGTTTCGCTGTTGGAATCTGTGCAGCGCTGCTACAAAACATTCCCGAGTAGGAGCAGGGGAGCTCTGTTCTGGAGAGCTTTGGTGCAATTGAAGTCAAGTGTTCCTGTTGGTGCATTTGTGAGATGTATTTATGCTGCTTTTCATGACCTTTAAGATTTTTGTTGTCTATCTCATTGTTTGTCTGCCGTGACCATTAGCCAAGTAAACATTTCCAAATGACTTCAACAAAGAAAAATTATGTTTTATATTAATGGTACAAAATAATTTCTGCCTTAAATGATTTGTGATACTGCACTTTTAAGTATCAGTCATGTACAAACCTTCTGAGAGGTTTACATTAGCATCCCTAGAGGAAAAGAAGCCAAATGCTTCAATGTCTGAAGATTTCCTGACTTACTGCTTTTGAGTGATGATGGCATTTGGTAATGTAGCTCTTAATGAATGTTAGCATGATGAGTGTAATTAGAATACATCTTTCTTTTTTAAATGCTCTGTTTTTGCTGAGATTAAAAATACTGTCAAGCAATCATACTTCTTAAATGCAAAATGAAATTGGCTCTGTTCCTCATCATCCTCTTAGTTAAGTCAGGAGGTTTCCAGAAAGCGAGCTGGGTCCATGTTTGCAGCAAGAAGCTGAGAATTGCTCCAGTTTTACTGTGTGCCTTTGGTTGAGTATGCTTTTCAATGTACATATACAAGTCTTTTGTCAGTGAGTCTTTTTGTTGCTAGTCCATGACAAGCAAAGAACTGTTCTCACATTCACAAAGGAATGGTTTGAAAACTAGTTGCTTTAAGTAACGTGCTTTCAAGCATGAAACTGCAAAAGCATCACCTTCACTTAAAAGATGCAGCCAGCAATGCAAAAAGGAAGGTTACTTCCTATTTTATTTCAACCATTCAAAAGGCAAAATTACAAACCTTATTATGATTAGTTCCGGCTGTAGGAGGAATGGGGATAATCTAGCACAGTGGCTGGAAAAGCTCTCTGCTCTAGAACTCACTTGATTGTGAAAATTATCCTAAGGAGTAGGAATGCTTCTCCAGTCCAAGTTGAAATTGTACAGTTGTTTTTGCTTCCAACATGAATTTTTGATGTGCCTTTTGTTCTCTGTTACGATCTTTGATATCCTTATGATAACTGTGTATTGCAATAGAGGTGATAGACCTCAGGCACTCAGGCCTGGAGATACATCCAGAGCTGTTTCTCTGGATTTGAGATGCCCTGAGCTTTTATAAGAATCACAAATGTGAGGGACAACTTCCTGTGAACCATCACAATGGCCAAAGGCTGAACTCTTGACTTCTGAACAACAGGAAGAGCAGTCCCCCATCTGTCTTGACTATCCATCCAATTTATTCCATACAGGAAATTCTGACTGAGAATATTTTGGTTATTTAAAAGGTGACTGATGAAAAGATAAAAACTAAGATGGGAAGTGTCACTGCTTCTATGTCAGTATACAAGGTCATTGCTGACTTGAGTCTGATAATTTCTGCAAGGATAGGTGGGTCTCAGTCAGCATTCCTGTTTTACTTTCAGTGTGCCCATCCTGATTTATTCTGACTGAGAGAGCACAGTTTGTGGTAATTTTGGTGCATATATAATAGACAGTTTGTACAGTGGTAGGTGGAGGTATGGCTGGACTGCATCAAATTCGATGGAAAGGTTCCCAATGACTCCAGGGGACTTTAAATTACACTCTGAGCCACCAAGTACTTTAATGTAGGCTTTAGTTCATTATTTCAGGATCACTGCTATCACTGAAACTGTTCAAAAAGGTAAAGTTAAGCACGTACAGCATTTACAGGCTTTGGACTATTAAGACCTCTGGTTTTCTCCCTTTTTCTGTTTTCTTCCCTGCATTTATATATGCAGATAAACATTCTCCTTCCCTAAATGTTCCCTAGCTAAAATTTGCTAAGTATACTTCTTTCTTAGTGAAGAAGGTGTACTTAAAATAGAGAATGCTAATTTATGCATGGTGAGTAGGTCAATGAGATCTCAGTAGGAAGTATCACACTTTTTTTATGTAAAGAGCAAAGTACTATTTGGTGGGTGGTTTTGGCCTTCAATTTCCTCCCTACAGTCCTGTCTTAGGTCTGCTATGCAGTCTGAAATGCACAGTCAATGGTCATACCCACATTTTAAAGGCTACCTTTGACTCTACATGCAGAGGGAACCGTACTACATTTTAGATTACCTTGCGAGAGGTCTTTTCCTCTGGATCAATGTGTATTTTTAATTTGTTTGAAATGTCCATTCTTATGTAGCGTAGCTTGAAAGGAGATTAAATGAAGAATGCATTTTGCTTTCCAGTTATTAGCTGAAAACGTGGCTTTTTATTTTTGTCTATAATAATAATGACATTGTAGTAATAGGCTCAGCTATCTTGAAATTTTCAGTTACTATAAAAACATTATACTTGCACTGATGGGAGTTGTTCTACTCATCTTGTTCTCTACTATTATTTTTCTTGCAATTTAGCTTGATTGGTCAAGTTAAATTAGTTGGAATAAGTTAGCATGAATGTTATTTCATGCTAGTTCTATGCTCTGTGAGCTTTCAGTGAGTTTCTGGGTACAGTTCAGTAATGCTATGTTTTTATTCTATGTTTCTCAGATTCAACTCTTCAAAAATTTGCATCCACACCTATTTTAGACAGATAAGGTCAAATAAGTCCAGATAGAATAGCACTTCAGGAAGTCACTGTCCCTCACATGTCCACTGTGCTTCTATGCCAAAGACTGCTTCCACAGCAGTGAAACCAGTTAAAGCATTGGGATACATATGTTTACACCATGGCATAAAGCCTACACACTTTCTTCTGCACTCCACAATAAGCCACCATACTAAAGCCACTACCAAAAAGCTGGAAATTGTAATGTCTTGGATGACTACAACAGTTAACTGAGAAGGTCTGTGCTGACTTTTCTTATCCTCTCTTCATTTAGTGTGTGTAATGTCGTAGCAAGCAGGGGCCATTAAGTAAAACCGAACACATTTTTAGCTACCGACATCTGGTGTAATTTGTCCCACCTTACCCTGTTTCTGGTCATAATCCAGGGCTGCTAATTTCCTTAGTAGACTGAAAGCAAATTAGTAGATAACATGCCTAAGAGTAGAGGGTAATTTCTGAGAATTTATGGATCTACAGATTCTTGGCTGTCTTTATGTGCTGCAGGTTACAAAGGTTGGATCAAATTTGCTTTGGATGGTGCCTTCTTTGAAGGTTTCTGTAAAGACTTGGATTGTTAAAGTTTTATTTTAGTGGTAATAAGGCCAGTTTGATGTTACTAGATGAAAGGCTTGAATAAAACACATAGAAATGACTGTACTTCAAAAATCACTTATGGAGCCATTATTTACCTGGTCATGTAACCACGTTATATTTCTAGTAATTCCATATTCTGTGGATTATTGCAACACAATGACTTGTCCTTTTTGCAGACGTGCCAATGTGGCATTGTGTACTGACATAATAAAATTGTCTTATGTTGCAACTTAGATATCAAAGGAAAATCAAGATGTTTCATCAAGAGGCTTCAATAAATTCTTGATCTTACTGAACTGGCTCTTATTAATATGTTGAAGGTGATGAGAGAATTCTTTTGAAATGTTAGGGTTAGTGAGGAAAATAAATTTTTAGAAGACAAATTGCTTCTCTGTAGCAGCAGATAGCAGCTTGCATAAAGGAGCTACTGAGGACAGTAAAATTCCAAGCAGTTTTGATTAAGAGATAATCTATTGCTCTCAGCTTGTTTGCTTTAGATTTAGAGTCTGATAAAGCTAGGTGGGAGTCATCCCTGTCGCTCCTGTGGGATTTTTTTCACTTTATTTTGATCCATACCTCAGCAGAAGTATGTAAGGAATCTTGGCAGGTGGGAGCATTGGTTGACTGAATAGTCAGGTGTGCCTTCAAAGCTGAAACTGGAAGGCAAATGACAAAGGCCAGACAATTTGTGCAACTGTCTCCCAGGCTGTCGTGAGATGATGCTGCCAGCAGTTTTATCCATACATATAACTCTTCTACAAGGTGAGGCAAGATCTTGTTCCTTCTGGCTGCTAGTTCAATTCTGTGTAGGAAAAAATTGCTGCCAAATGTCCAGCAAAACCTAGCCAAGGCACCCTATACAGGGATCTTTGGGAAGGGGAATGATGTCTTGGAAGTGACCAGTGGTAGGTCTACCTCATCTCTCTGGCTACTTCTCTGTGTATTTAAAGAAGACAATACCAATGGTCGTGGCATGACCTGGTCCATAGGTAAAATGCTTCTTGGGGAACGGTTTGTGGGCTAGTAATACATGATATTTTCTTGTGACAGGATTTATAAACAACTATGTACTAAATGCTACAAAGTTAGGGAACCTGGAGTAGGTGGAACAGAATAAGCTGTTACTGTGCCCATTAAATCTAGCTCATTCCAGTTGTTTTGAGTGTGGCCAAATGGATTAAAACCCATGTAATAAATTTAAATCTCACCAACAATTGTTGTAAATGAAGAATAAAAGGGCATTATGGGGTGTAAGTACAGGAGAATAATTTTCTGTCCATGTAGACAAACCTCAAATTAGCATACTTATTCCTCAGTAATGATGTAATTGTGAATTTGATGTCTGTCACATTTCAGAATTGCATGGAGCATTCTGATTTAAAATGCCTCATAATGCTGCTGCTTTTCCTTTCACCAGAGGCCAGCAGAAACTGTAGATGAAGAAGAAAATGTAGAAGAGGAAAATGACAAGGGAGAGGAGGCATATAAAGGAGAGGAAGAATATCCAGAAGTGAATAGAGAGGAAAATGAGGAAACTGTTAAAGAAAGAATTGAAGTGGAAGAAAACAAAAAGAAATTAAATGAAAATTATGGAGACGAAGCAGGAGAAACACAGAATTTTGACCAAGCAGAGGGAAAGGAACCTATCCATTCAAATGGCAAAACCAATGAAGGAAATTGTGAGGGAATGGAGCATTTGAACTACCAAGGTGATCTTCAGTCTGAAGAAGAAATAAAAGAGGATTCTGGCAGTCAGAACCAGGTGAGTGTAAATTCTTTTAAACTCTTTTTCTTATGTTTTTGTTCCTCATTCATCTCAGCCTTATGCTTCTCATCTGGTCTCTAAGTAGTTAATTTCTGATAAAAAATTTCTGAGACCATTTATGAGAACTTCAGTTTGTGGAAAAGTTGTTTTCTGTCTGTATAGATCAGTTTCATCAGTAATTATATTATATACCCTCCAACTGAGAAAGCAGATGTTTCTCACTATTTGATGAATCTGCATCTTCTACTTTCCTTAGTGTGCTAAATTTTGAAAAAAAAAGTAATGTAATGAAAAAAATTCTTGCAGTTTCCAGAAAAGCAGAATCATTATATATTTCTACATTACTTTTTCTTTTAGGACAGAGCAGATGGGTGTGTTCATGACCCCACAGTGCCTCATTATTTCGATGAACTGACTTTCACAAAAGTTGCATTTCATAAATGCATTTTGCCATTGTGTTGTGGAAGTTTCATCTTGTTCTTAGAAATTGAAAAATACAGTTCCTGTATGACACACAAGTATATTTTTCAATTGAGAGAGCTGAGTAACATGACATTTTCTTGGGCTCTGAATTTATTCTGTGCTTCATATATTTGAATTTTTTTTTGTTCTAGAAAAGCTGAAGTTATTTATGGAAATGGAGAAAGTGAATGAGCATTCACTTTAAATGCATATGTGGATAACTGGATGGTTGATGAAAGAACTGTAGGGGGGACCTCTAATGTGAGTGCTTTCTCATTTGGAAGATATATAAGTATAAAATAAATGAAAATTTTAACACAATCACTCTTTGAAAACATTTTTTTCACATTTAGAATACCTTGTGGAAATTTTAATATGAGATGCTTAATGCTGTATTGAAATTAAGTGGAATCTTTGATACCCAATGACGTTAACAGTGCCTGTCCTTTTTCTTGAGGTTGATCCCGGTCTTGAAAAAACATCAACAAATCCAAGGGTGACAATCACCAGCCCACAGGAAAGTGAAAAGAACGACCAGAGCAATGACTATGCAGCAGTTGCATAAACAGGAAAAATGTAATGAGCAGAAAATGAGAACGGATAACACTTTAAAAATAAAGCATGTTATTTTTTGTCGTTGGCAACTTAAATTAGGGAGGCAGGTTGAGTACCCACGTAATGCGATGATGATGCTCTATGGACTGATGAAAAACAAGCATTTATATCTACTAGAAGAACATAGAATTAGTTTTAGAAGGTGAGATTTTATGATAGGATTTGAGGGGGAAAATGCAGGAGTACTTTATAGTAGTATTAGAAATAAACTAACTATTTTGTGGTACGAGATAGTTAGCAGCAATAGAATAACCAGAAAAACAACACTGTTCCAGGGAAAGGAAAAGAGACCCACCCACATTCAATGTCAAAATTCCTTTGTTGATTTTTTTTCAGGAAAAGAAACTATTTTTTACCTTTTAAATAGGACATGTGTAGTTTTTCCTCTACAATTCCACATAGGTGTAAGGTATAATCTTGAGGTATAACGTTAAGATATAACTAGAATATGTTCCTCACCTAATGGATTTATGCCCACAGAAAATGATTTACTATAATGAGGGGCCAGTTCAAATAGACTAAATAGTGTATTTTCAGTATATTAATTAGAATTATTAGGTTTTGCATACATAAATAGCACTTACTTAACACTATTAATACACGTGGACAGCCTACAATATTGCAGCTTATTTCCATTTAAAACAGAAATTTTGTTGATTGTCCTGCAATAGTGAGTTATTGGCATCATGAACAAAAGACAGAGGAAGAGTATGTAGTAGATTAGTTTAAAAAGTTGAATTTGGATGGATTTGTAATTCAGTCCAAGAGAAAATTTATTAATGAACTAAAAAAAAAGACTGTGCCTGGATTCAGACTGAAATTGCCATGACACCATTGCAGTTGATGGAGCCATTTTAATATGTGAGACATCAGGATAAGCCCACCAGCTTTCTGTAAAAATCAGGAACAATTATTGCCTTTATGAACCCTTTGCATAGCCTTAATGGTTGGAAGTGTGTCATCATCCTTTTGAGCAAGCTATCTCCCAATAGGCTGTGGCTTAATATGCATTAATAAATAAGGCATTGATCCACAGTATCAGTTCACTTAATGACAGTGATTCCATTGGTCTTATCGTTTCTCTGTTAGTAATGGGAATAATTTGTTGTTCATAGAAATACAGCCCTGAGCATAATTTTATTAATTATACAAAAGAAATAGTGGGTTTCCTTATCGTTAATGCTAGTAAATTATTACTATACTAAACTTAATGTCATTTTTGTTGATTTCATGCCATTAAGACAAGAATTACATTTATGAACAAATTGAACTTGAAGCACTGTTTAAGGAATGTGAAGAACCACTTGCCATAACTGAAACTCAAACATCTTCCCTTCTTCTACTGATTATTAAGTATATTTTTCCAATGTAGTAGAAAATGTGGAGATCCTTCAGCATATTTCTGCTGCTTTGGCAATATTAAGTATAAAAGACATGTTAAAAAACATATGAACAGGGTTAGAACAGTTTGCCCTGTGGAATCTCTGAATTGTCTGTGAAACCTTGAAACCTTCTATGAAACCTGTAGCTTCCATTGAGCTGTCTGACAAAGATCGAAGGGAATATTGCATTTGTGATCAGTTCAAAATAGCTCCTTATTTAGCCAAGCTCTTAAGCAAAGTATGCACACTTCCTTTTTTTTGTAATAGCAATTAAACATATATTCAAATATATTTGATTTCTCTGGGATTTAAAAGGCATTTATAGTTAAGCAGAAGTAAAAACCAACAAGCTCTTCTCCTCAACAAAAAACAACAACAACAAAACAAACCTGAACCAGAATGGATAAAATTAACTGTGAGTGACAGTGAGGTAAAATGACACAGGTACCTTTATTGTTGGTTTCTATTTATAGCTTCTGAGTGCCAGCTTCTGTCATTTCTTTCCTTTCCCCAAAAGTTTGGTATTTTCCATGCTAAAGAGACTTACAGGTATCAATAAGAATAATTTAAAGGATTAAATTAAATTCTAGGGAAATGTAATATTACCATTTTCCTTCATAGGAGCATGAAATTCCTGTGAGTGTTACTCAACTTTGAAAATGTTTCCCCCTCTGTTCTCTTGTAAGAAAGGATATCTTTTTTCAGAAAAGCAAATCTGACTTTGGAATTAGAAATATAACCATTTTATCATTCACCTTGCTACACTGACAAAATGAATGTTTATCAGGTTCTTTTATTTAGGGAAACTAGTTTATACCTAACAAATAATTCTAGTAGAAATTAAACAAAACTGATACAGTCTTGGTTTTGCTAGTAGTTTTTCTGTGTTGGTCTGCTGTGTGTGATTGCTTAACTCAGTTTTACCTGAGAAATACATCATTTTGTAAAGTTTATATAATGTGATTTTATTACACTTATGTGCAACAATTCTGAGGGGTTTTTTTAATAATTGTTTTCTTTTTTCCTTTTGTTTTTAAAAATAATTTGCTATTAAAGAGAACTAGTTCAGATATTCATGTGTTTTCTCTCATATCAAGGCCTGTTTGTTGTTAAATCTGTCTTTGGGTTACTGACTTTGTAAATTTGGTGATTTTGCAGCTGACAGGATTCTCCCATAACCAGTACTTAAAAAAAAAATCAAAAAACCAACAAAAAATGGATTTGGCAGTTTTTGTATTGCAACTGTGAAAGAAAATACATTGACAATTGAGCTGTTACACAGTTATAAATGTAAGACTAGTGGTGCAGTTAAACTTGCTCAGGGAGTTTTTTAATGCCAAAATTCAGGTTAAGCCTGGGTTATTGGTATGTGTGCACTGTCCAGGCAGTACTCAGCAAATGACATGAGTTTTATCTGTTCACTGGCAATTCCTGGGAAAATTACCAAACTTCTACATGTCTCCCTGCAGAGACTCCTAATTTCAGCCAAGCATTAAAGCATAGGCTTAAATCCCATAGGACTGCAGTTTTCATTGAATTTTAACTAATGCTTTGGTGCCTTGACATGTCAGAGCCAAAATAAAGTTAGTTTGCGGGAAAAAAAATGGGTGAAAATAAGGAGAATATAATCCCCACTCAGTTTCATCTAAAGTACAGTGAAATAAACCTGTGTGCAGAGTAGAACAATGTGAGTATTCTGATTATTTGAAAATACAGGGAAAGGATTGTTGCTGGGATATTTTGATCGATTACCCCAAATGTACATTAAAATAACCATTAGATAATAGATGTAAATACCAAATGAAGTATCTCCAGGAAGGGTGTATTTATTAAGTAGTTGCAATCAGAATGATTGAATGGGATGCACACAAGGAGGTTCTGTTTTGGGTGCCTGACAGCTTTCAATCTAAATTTTAATCAAAAGAAGTGCTGTGGACATGGCAATAGACAGTGGAGCCATCTGATCTTTGTAGATTATTCTGTGTGTGCATGTTTGTATCCATTAACTTATAGATGTGTGTGAGTGCTGAAACTGAAGGCATTTGCTGTGTGCTCACACACACTGCACTCATAAATCATGTGTATATTAATAGTTTAATCTTCTTATGATGTTAGTGATGGGAAAATATTATTGGTTGTAGCTGCAATTTTCTATAATTGTACAAGATTCTGCAGAGAAAGAGGTAAAGACTATTTCTCCTTTTCATTCAGCACAAGGCCTAGTTCAAAATGAGCAAAGGGTTCATAGTTCAAAGTACCCTGACCCCATGACTGTAGGTGGCTTCTCCCAGGACAAGGAAGGTAAGGTGGCTAAACCTCTTGGGTGCCTCTGGCTGGGGGCCTCACGTCAGGCACATCTGATGATTGCACATGGTCCTGTGTGTGTGCAAAGGCAGGCAGACAACTGTTGTAGCAGCATTGTACTTGCTCATTGGGATTAGAGCCTTTCCCTGGAAGAACCTTCCCAAGCATGATTTTCTGTGGGGAAACTGAAGCAGAGGGGTTTTTTTTGCATAAAAAGTGTACCTTGTTTGTGTATTTGTTTGTTTGTTTGTTTGTTTGTTTTTGGCAAGAGTGGGGATGGGTAGTTCATCTCCAAGGCCTTAATAGTGGTGTTAAGGCTTTTTCCACTCACTAGCACCTCCCTACACTTGGATGTTCCACTGCTGTTCCACAGCAGGGAGAGCCCTGGTGCTGCAAAGGGCCCCTGAGCATGGCTGCTGCAGATGCTGGGCAGTGCCATGGCTGGTGCATGTGGGAAGCAGATCACTGTGCTGACTGACCCAGTGGTGTTTGCCACTGCTCCCAGACAAATGCCTACTCTTCCAGAAGCTTCCAGTAGGTGAAAAAACTACTACACTGCCTTGTGAGGGCTCCTGTACCAAAAGAAGTGATGCACGTGTCAGCAGTGTGTGTCTGTGGATATTTGGCTCCACATGGTGCTCCCAGCAGCTTTGCTTTTTTAACTACTCAGCCCTGCATACAAGCAGTGAGCCAGTGCTAGATTAGTTCCCTTACACTGCAGACTGCAGTCCTTGGGCACCTCAGTTCTCTGCACTTTGCTGTGAGTGTGCCTCAGTACAGACCTGGCGTGCACAGGAAACATGGCCAGCAGCCTCCTTACAAATCAGATCTGGAGATACTTTGGTGTGCACTTTAGTTTCTTCTAATCCAACATCTGTGTGATTCACAGCTGGGTGTTTTAAAGATAAGGACTTGATGGGCTGGTCTGCATCGCTGCTGGAGAGAGATTTGGGATCTGCCTTGTGTACGCCTGGTTGCTGGATTACTCACACAGAGCCTGCGTGAGGAGACTTGGCAGCACACCAGACAACCAGAGGCCAGAGCCTCCTCAACACGGATGCCATGAGTGCATCTGCAGAGACAAAACCATCTGGCTATAGGGTCTGGAGTTGCTTTTGAGCTGAGGCCTTCAAGGTTTATGCCAGTGATCCAGGCAGGTGACCTGGAGAATATTTTCCCGTCATACCTTTGGCTAAGCACATGGTGCCACAAGAGCAAGCAGTTTAGTTCAGAGAGCAATGCTGAGGCACTCCTCAGAGGGCAGTCACTGCTGCTGGAGGGGCAGAGGAAGGGCAGAGGACTCAGACATGTCAGGGCAAAGATTTGTCTATATGTTATATAGACCTATGTCAAACACAAGACACGTTTAAACCAACAAACTCAATTTATCACTTTCCAGTTACATGACCACCTGGAGATCAGAACAAGCTCTTTGCCATTCATTCTGTTGTGATATTAAGCTAAAGACAGGCTGGCTGCTTGTGCTGCAATCATCTCTCTTTATCTGGTGTTTACTTCAAGGGACCAAGCTCTTGCTGTTCTTCCTGTGGCCTAAAATGGTGATGTCTCTCTCTGGGCAAATCTGGGACCTTGGCTCTCAGGGCACAAGAGTGTTCACACGGCTGCTATGGTGAATTTTGGAAGAGTGCTGGAGCTGCCTCTGCCCCAAAAGCTCAGCTATAGGCCAGAGCTAAAAGCTGTCACTGGCTTCTGTGGCTTGTCCTGGGTTTCAGTGAATACCTCTGCTCTGATTTGCACCGATGTGTGCTTTACTCAGGGCTTTCTCAGTCACCTCTGATATGCTGGAGAAGATGCAGATGAACCCACTAATTTCTGACCTTACAAAGCAGGGAGCCAGAAACCCAGTCAGCCTGTACATGAGGGATACTGGGGCACCCTCTGATTTGTGCTCCTCAGAGATAGTGGCTCTGTTTAGCAGTCTTTGAAGTGAGGATTTTTGTCTGGGTACAAACTTGCTCCAGTTTCAGAAGTGCCTTTACAAGGGGTAATTCGAGAGCTGGACCTATTCTGAGCAACAGTTATCTGAAGAATTTTTCTTTAATCATAGTATCCAAAGGGAAAAAATGTGTCCTCACATTAGAGATAATGCACTTGTCCAACAATAAGATCCTCAAGCTTGTCCAGCCATCTATGGGGGCCAGAATATTGATGTCAAAAGTTGATGTGTTTTTGTTTTTTGTTAGGTTTTGTTTTTGTTTTTTTGGTTTTTTTTTTTTTTTAAATGTCTGTTTCCATGAAGATTTCAGACGCTGTACGTACATTGTTCTGGTCACAGGTTTTAGAGCTGCAGCAAGTTTTTCTGTGCTTTCAATATTCACTGACTGTGTCTCCTGATACTCATTGACAGATGACCACAACACCACCAACACCAACATCCTTTTAGCCTCAGGCTGAAGGGTGCCTTTTGCTGGGAAATGGCCTGAAGAGATGAGTACCATAATTTTTGAGGCTGAAATTGCTCAAGCAGCATAACATACATTGTTAAATTGTCTAGCTTATTAGCACTGTTTAAAACTGACCTCCCATCTGTATTTGCAAGAGTCCATGAATGGAAAATTATGGAAAAAAAAGCGTGCCTTCAAAAATCAGCTGCAAATAATTAGGAAAAAACAATAAAAGAGGTTATTTGATGCTGGCTCTTTTCTCTGAAGGGCTGTTAGAAGTATTTGCTTCACCTACTGTCAATATGCAGAGACTATTTTCATCCCAATACCTCTGTAAATTATCTGACAGTAAAACTGAGCTTTGGCCTGCTTAATGTGCATCAAGTGAACTGATGCAGGAAATGCACACTGTGTGGTCTGCCACATGTCCAGATAAGAACTGAAGAAAAATGAGGAGGTGGATGGATTGTTTGCCCAGAGACCAGAAGGCTCCAGAAGAATCACACATGGTCTCTAAATATTTGAAATAGGAGGAAAGTAGGTGGGTCTTCCCATTGATAAAGGTTTTCCTCTGGGATAAACTGTCTCATGGGGATGAACTGACAAAACTCAAGTGTTGTTTCTCTTAAGAGGTGCATGGGCATTAACTCCAAATGACTGGTACAGGGTAATGCTCTGTAGAGATGTCGCTTCCTTCAGCTGTGTAAGGGGTAGGACAGGGAAGGGGTGAGGCTGTGCCTCTACAGCCTGCTCATGCAGCTTGTGTTTTTTTTGTCTCTCTACCCCTGACATGCAGTGAGCTGAGAGGGCAGCCTGCTGTGTAATGGCAGGATGACTGGGCACTGCTGAATAATCCCAAGTGCTAATTCCTTTATTTTACCAAAATTGTTCCACTCTTAGCCCTTTTGAGAAAGCTGCTGGGAAAGTGCATCCAGCTAAGGTACTTGCAGTCTTTTGCTGACTCCTTTGCATTTCATGTCCTCTGAGTGGCCTCCCTGGTGTGCAGCTTGTGCTGATCCTCTCCCCCTGCCAAACTCTCTCTGCAGCCTCCCTATTCTGCTGCTTCTGCTTTCATGAAGAGCTGTTTGCTTGTACTTGTGCATGATTAAAAGTCTCTTGGAAATGGCAGGCTGAGGCTGTAGCTGAAACTGGGAATTAAATCTGCTTACAGGCAGCTCAAGAGGAGGAATGTTTCCATCTCTGCCTTTTGCCTGTGATTCACCATGCACCAGGAAAAATTGGAAAATAAAGAGGTCGAGACAGCCTGGAGAGTGGAGGACAGAGCAGATGCTAACAGAAGCCTTTCCATCACAGTGTGCTGGGGAAGCAGAGCTAACCTTCAGGTTAGCTTCTATTAACCA